GGGGGGGAATTCAAACTATTTCATTAAATAATTTATAAGCACGTCTAAGACTTCTTTGCTGCCAGCAGAACCGTTTCCCTAAAATAAAGGCCTTTCATCTCTCTGAAGTAGGAGAAGTGTCCGCAGAGGCCACTGGGGGGAAGCAAACGGCTGGTGCAGACCTTCTCTCTCTGGAGGCTGGAGAGCCCTCGCTTCGCAGACACCACAGGAAATTTGGACACTTGAACACCTACAATTTAAGAATTAATCCAGGGCCTAAATTTGGGAAGAGGATCTGTTCTGCAGTGGGTAAACTGGGCACAGGCTCTGTGGCTTGGTGGGGAACAGCCACTCGCCCTCAGTCCAGCAAACACAGGTTGATGTGAAAGATTTCCTTCAGAAAGCTTCCAAGTGACCCGCAGGGGAGGGCTTTTGCCCAGGAAAAACTCAGTCTGACTCCCAGGGAGATCTGTTTTTCTCTGTTTTTGTTTCTCCTTGGCTGCTGAAGAAAAAACGTGGTTGGACTCAATGATCTCAAAGGTCCCTTCCAACCACGAAGATTCGGTGATTCTGTGATCTGAAGAGCCCCAGCACTTGTATGTGCTGATGTTTCTCTGATTTTCTTGCGTGTGCTGATTTGACATTTGATACAAATATCAAATACTGTGCTAATCCAGCCGGAGCTACAAAAGCCCAGCATAAATCTGGGCAATGTGGAGAAGGAGAGCGCAGGACAACTCCTTTCCAGCCAGTGGAACCAGCTGCTGTCCGATTTTGAACTTTTAAAAATAAAATCTAAATAAATAAAACCTTACGAGACTAAACCCCCTTAATGTTTAGAATGGGCAAGGCAAATAAAATGCATTAACTGCCAAAGAGATTATTTCAGGGCACAAATCTATATAACTTCAAACATTAAATAGGAAGTTTTCAACTTAAATGTTACTGTTGAGCAGAGGAGGTGAAGCCTCCTCCCCAGACAGGAGGAGGTGGAACAGTCAGGACAGGAACCTCCAATGTATTTCTTGTTTTCTACATTAGAGGTGGTTCCACAAAACAGGAAATTTTGTCTCCTCTTTGGTCCAATTATGTTTCACAATGAGGCAAAAGAAACAATCACCGCCTGTAGAGATTTTCTCTAGAAATCAAAGAATTTGAGATTTTTTTAAATAGACTGAAACATCATATATTACAAGCTATAATTATCCTAACACAGGTCTTTCAATCCTCGTCAGACAGTAAGAGATCTTTACCGGAAAAGTGTATCTTCCACTGGTTTTCAATTACTTAAAAGCTGCTGCTCTCGCTGGCCCCGGGGAGCCTCTGCATTGCCTTGCTATGAAAGCACTTCCTGATTACTTCCTTTAAAATGACAATGCTTGTAGAAATTAATCACATCTTTAGCCTATATGAATAGATTTTCTCCTGAGTGTCCCCAAAATAGAGGCTGGTTGTGATGTGGCCACTGCGCTTCCTTTACTTTCTTGTTTTAGATTCCCACCCGAATCGGGCGATGGAAGGAATTGACAGGGAACATCAGTGCAGTGAGGCTCTCCAAGCGCCCCGTGCACTCCTGAGTTTTACCCTCCGTATTTCTATGAGATAAATTTTGGTGCCTGCCAGGGGTGGGGTCATTATTCCACCTGCATAAACCAGCATCAGCCAGGGATGAATTAGCGGGTGTCACCACGCGCCTCTGACGGCCGGTGTGACCCATCTCCTGCTCCTCAGAGCTGCAGTTCGACAAGATTTTACCAATCTAAATGATTTCAAATACACCACAATTGCAGTTACGCTTTAAACAAACTTTTATTTTGTAAAGCTTAAAAACTTAATGTATTTGTGAAACCGGAGATGTTCCTGTATTTGTTTAGGAATCATAAATCCTTACACGTACACTCCTGCTGAATCGGCTTTATATTAAAATCTAGACGAGGAAAAATATTTTCTACTTTGGTTGAGACCTTTTAAACTGAGACTCAATTCAGAATAAGATTTCGCTTGTATCTTATTCATACTTAAAAGCTGAGGTTTCTTTGAGGCACATCACTGTCGCTTTCAAACAGCCGGCGGTGTCGTTCCAGAGGAGCTCAGGGTAGTTCTTAACGTGGGTGGGTTTGATTCCCGAGTGACGCTGTGGAAGTGGGAGCTGTGGGTGATTCCAGCCTTCCCTCTGCCCCCCGGTGCGCTGCAGTGTGGCACGGACTAGGCTTTATTCATCTCGGATGTGTTGCTCTCCCAGAGCTGGAATTCTCAGCTCTCTCTAACGCAGGATCCGCAGACACATTGTCTGCCCGAAGAGAAAACCACACACTCCTTAAAACCCCCCGGTGCCAGCTGAAGTGGAAGCTCTACCAACAAAATGACTCTTTAGCAAGGATGAGCAGAATTTCTTTTGGTTGCTCGGTGCGGCTGCGTCAGCAAACTCTTTCCAGCCCAGATCAACTCCACGGCAGTTCCACCAGGTCCCAGAACATCCTGCTTCTCTGCAGCATCAGCATCCGCCACAGAGCTCCTGTCTAGAGGGAGAAGCAGCTCCAGTGGCTCCCGTGAAGATCCAATGGACTCTGTAGCAGCACAATATTTCAGCTTTGAAGAACTGAGTTACTCATCTCTGCAGGAGGCTGAGCTCATGCACAATCCCCGGGGTCTCACGGTGTGTCTCCTGCAAGAGACTCCTCCTGCCCTTCCGAAAAGCAGCTTCTCCCGGTAGCTTCTGCAACTAAAAGAAATCTACAGTATTTTAAATATGTGCCAATGACTGAGATTAAAAATAATTCATGGTGAAATGCGTAGGATAAAAAAGGCCCTGCCTGGGTTGTAACCGGCTTTATGTAGAAATTCTTTCTAAAAATCAGTTTCAGTACAGCTGCCTCAGAACTCTCCGGGTGCTACTTGAAAAGCCACGGCCCCCGGTGTGAAATGTGCCCTTGGGCGCAGGGCAGGGCACGTTGGCATCTCCTTTGCACAGTCCCACTGCTCCAGGACCAACTCTTCTCATCCTGCCAGCTCCAGGAAAGCACAAGGTTCCTCAGGTCATTAAGGGCCGGGTGACAGATCCTGCTCCGTGTCTCAAAGCACCTGAACCAGTCTCACTGTGTCCGTCCCTGGGATTCCAGCTGGGAAAAGGAGCTGCCAAAGCCACCCCTTCTGTCCCTGTGGGCACGCACAGACACTGTCACTGACAGACACTGGACGGGCACTGTCAGCCTGCAGAAACCAGCCTTAACATTCAAACGCTTCATTACATTTGCATAGTTGTGAAAATCTATTAGTTTCCATGTAATGAAAATCGGCTTTTTTTTTGGTACAGGCAGAAGTAAAAACATACATTATATAGAAAAAAAAAAATAAAAATCACAGCTTTAAAAACTGGCTTAGGTTGTTTAAAATGAGTAAATCTGGTTGTATTTCAAGGCATTGGACTTTAATACTTAATTTGATGCCAACCCATCACACAGTGCAAGAACTATTCTGCGACAGTACAGATTCCATACAGCAGTCTGCAGAGAGTCGAGTCTCACAGCATCTCACGGTGGCAAAAATAAAATGTGCTGAACATTCTTTCCATTTAAACACAAAACATTGCCAAAGTTAAAATTTTTCTTTCTTTACATACTCTCTGTTACAAAAATATCAACTTGCGAGTCTGACAGTGTATTCTACAAACAAACGCGCCACGGACAACAGGAATCGCAACTTTGGGACAGTTACTTTACAAAGTGTATTATAAAAATAAATTATATGGCAAACATCAAACAAAACCAAGCACGTGCCTCAGGCTTTGCAAATAAAAGTGAAATTCAGCCGGCAGAAAGACTGCTCTCTCTGACTATGGACTTTAAAAATATCAGCAAGGCCCTTCATAAAGCTCTACCGAGAGAAAAAAAAATATATATAAAATCTAATGGAAGCACCAAATACTTCCATGAATAATCAGTAGCACGAGTGACCCTGGTGTCAGTGGCAGAGCTTCTACCGCGCCCCGTCCATGGGGCAGGGAGGGAGGTGCCCACGGAGACGTGCGGTGGGGACGGCGACTCATCGGGAGTTCATGCGTAACTGGTGAATGATGACACTCTCTAGAAGGAAAGAGCAGAACGTTGGGGTTTATGAGACCACAAATACAAGGTACTTCAAAGAAGAACAGTCGCAATGGGAGTGCACAGCGTTTCTTATAGAATCACAGAATGGTTTGGGTTGGAAGGGACCTTAAAGCCCATCCAGTGCCACCCCCTGCCCTGGGCAGGGACACCTCCCACCACACCAGGTTGCTCCAAGCCCCATCCAGCCTGGCCTTGAACCCCTCCAGGGATGGGGCAGCCACAGCTTCTCTGGGCAACCTGGGCCAGGCTCTCACCACAGAATTTCTCCCCCAGATCTCATCTCAATCTCCCCTCTTTCAGCGTCAAACCCTTCCCCCTCATCTTATGGCTCCACTTTCCTCTAGAAACATCTCGTGGACTTCCCCTCACGTCACTGGTTGATAAGAACTGTTCTGGCTGATGCTACAAAGGGAAACTAAATTTGTACCAGGCTACAACTCAGGAACCGTTGGCTTCCACTGCAATGTCAAGCCCATCACTGGGTTATCCATAGGGAAGAAGATAAATGCAGTGGGATGGATGAAACCCCAGGAACACCAAGGCTCCAGTCCCACACCCAAATCGGGCAGAGACGACTTGGAGCTGGGTCTCTTGTGTCCCAGTCAAACCCTTCCCCCTCATCTTATGGCTCCACTTTCCTCTAGAAACATCTCGTGGACTTCCCCTCACGTCACTGGTTGATAAGAACTGTTCTGGCTGATGCTACAAAGGGAAACTAAATTTGCACCAGGCTACAACTCAGGAACCATTGGCTTCCACTGCAATGTCAAGCCCATCACTGGGTTATCCATAGGGAAGAAGATAAATGCAGTGGGATGGATGAAACCCCAGGAACACCAAGGCTCCAGTCCCACACCCAAATTGGGCAGAGAAGACTTGGAGTGGGGTCTCTTGTGTCCTGTCTCAGCAAATCCATCATAAAACTGCGGGCAATTCTGAAACGGGGGTGAGGAAGAGGTTATAGGGTCAATTCTCATTTTTAATTGAAATTTGGTTTATGAAGCTACACTGGCTTTATTCAGCAAATCTGCTGGGATTTTGCCACTGACATTAATAGGCACAAATTTCAGGCACGGGATGAAAAGCGAAGAGTCATTGTTGCCTTTGAGCAGCCCCATGTGTACTGTGGGAGATCCCTGTTCCTGAGACATCCGGCTTTATTCAGCAAATCTGCTGGGATTTTGGCACTGACATTAAAAGGCACAAATTTCAGGCACAGGATGAAAAGCAAAGAGTCATTCTGGTCTTTGAGCTGCCCCGTGTGTAGCGTGGGAGATCCCTGCTCCCGAGACATCCCTGGGCTCTGCTGAGACACTAATGACCTGGTCTCTTCTTTTATCTCTATCCACTGTTCCTAAAGGCGACCTTTATAATACAAGAATTTAGCTCACCGTAATGTTTTTCTCTGAAAAAGTGTATTTTATGCATTTCAAATAAAACAACTGTACCAATGCTAACTGGAAACACGCAGTAACACCTGCTCAGAAACACTCCTTTTCTTAACTGATTTTTTTTTCTTTTAAAGATTCCTTCCTCTCTTAACAGTCTGAAGATTTTTCAAAATTGCCCCAGGAAATGACACTAATAATTTATTTACTCCCTTTTATGTTTTTATGGACTTCTGCCACCTTCTGCTTCCTAACTAATATTTGCGAGATGTTTGATTAAGCTACAGTCTAAGAGGAAAGAAAATCAAAAGCTTTTCCATGTACTCTTAGTGCCAGAACTTTGCCACTAGATGGCACGTCCCAGTTTTTGAGCCATGAGCGTGAAAGAACCACAAACTCCAGTAAAAATGTACCTTAAACCCGTGCTGGGCTCTGCCTTCAGCCTCCTGAGGAATCTGATGTAAGAAGCTGCATTTACTTGCTATCGGATTGTAACCTCAGGTGAAACCTCCCATCACCTCGATGGGAGTCACGTGTACTCTGTATAAAACAGATTTTTCTTAATATTCACTAACCACGTTCCATTTTAATACGGGGTTTAGATACAAAGTTCTGAAACTAAATGAGTAGCAGAAAAGTATCCTGCTCCTTGTAAGGGCCCTATTGTGTGATCCAGGCTCTGAATGAGGTTTCCTCCTGCAGAGCAGATCCAGCAATTATGCAGAAAAGAGTAGGAGAAATAATTTAAAAATTAAATAATTTCCACTTCTAGTATTCATTTCTCACATGCGTGAGAATTGTCTATGTTTGCTCTTAGTTCTTCTAACTTTTTTATTTAAAATGTTTATATGTATAAAAATAAATACATATATTTTTACACACACACTCTAGTCACTAAAAGGTGTCTGAGCAGTAATTAAAATTATAGCAGGGCAGATTTTGCCAGAGTTTTGCAGGAATATGATTGTACCTGCAGGACATGATTACATACACGTGTCTAGGGTTATTGGATGTGAATGTTTCGAGGAGCTATGAATTCAATTAAACAAAAGGATTTATTTTAACTCCAGGAGAAGACAACGCTGTGACTGTAAAACTGCTAATTCTGCTGTGGGTCCCGGGGCTGTAACTCCCAGCTTCTCCTGGAAACACAACATCGACAGCCCGTGGAAAACACCAACTCGCATCACGCAGCACATCAAACACAGCAAGTTTAATTTCTTCTTACAATATATACAAACACATGACAGCAGAAAATACAAAAACGTATGTACCCCAGACAACGCACAGAAAAGACTTTGTCCGTTGGTATTTCTGGTTATAAAATCCTGTGGAAGAGAGTTTTTAAAGCCAAGAGCCGTTCGTACCTGAGGGATTGAGCTCCGACTCCGGGAGCTGAGAGCGGTTACCCCTGAGTGCAGCCTCCAGAGAGCAGCACGAGGGGAGGGAGACTCGGGGGGAATTGACCATCCGTGAGGAGAAATGCTGCGTCGGGTTCCCCTGAGAGAGCGGGGGCACGATGAAGGGAAAAGAGGGAGACTCACCCCCAGGGTGGGGGAGAAAAACCTGCCCTTAAAGGAAAACAAGTTGGGAAGAGGAGCTCACAGAAACTCCTGCGGGTTTCAAACCCACTCAGTGAAATGGGCCACTGGTGTGTGATGGTATGTGATGATTTAATGATGATTTAATTGCTCTGCAAACTGTCCTGATGGTGGCAGCTGGTGCCGAGCCCCTGGGAGCCAGCGGGATGGGGCCAGTGTCTCCGTGAACACACACTCCTCAGCAGTCACTGGGAATTCAAGGAGATACCGGGCACGATTCAGAACGTGTAGCATATTTCAGGCAGGAAGATATTACTTGGCATCTGCAGATTCAGCAGAGTCACAAGGTGTTATCTGGGTTTTTTGAGAAATCACACTCATGGTTGTCACAAAAGGAATAAAAGGTGGGCAAAATAAATCAAAATCTCTGGTTTTCTTCTGTTATTTCCTTAGCATGTTCACCAGTCTGAGAGAAATCCCCCAGGCATCAGGGCTGCAGTTCTGTGCTCCCACATTGTCAGTCTTGCTCTGCCAGGGACTACAAATGCAGCAGTAATTCAGATGATGGGATCTCATCTAGAGAACACGGTGGAAAACTTATTAGGAACTAGATTTGAAATCACAGAGATCATCTGGAAAACCAAGGGTGGAACTTCTCAGTCCCTATGGGCTGCTCATGAATGGGTTGGCCCTTTCCCTGCTCTTCCACCCCTCCACCTCACTGCTGTCCCACTGCTGGCCTTGAGTTGTCACCACAGCTTCTGTGGCCACGCCACCAGAGCAGGACATCTCTCCAGCTGATGTTGACTCCTAAAAATACAGAGATTGGTTCTCTGCCAGCTCAGTTCCCAGTGAAGCACAGGAACTATCATTCTTTCTCCAAGTTGAGTGCATTTTCCTACCAAAACTCTTCAAAAAAAAAAAAAAAAAAAATCAAAACAGGGGAAAAATAAAGAGAAAGCACAAGGATGAGTCATTCTAGATGATCATCAGGGCAGAGGAAGGCTTGGCTTCTGCACTGCAATCCAGTGACGTAGAAGACATAAGAAGCCCCATAAATAAAGACCCTGACATTTTCCTATGGATTGGGGTCTCAGAGTTTGGTTCTTTGGTGCCTAGAAAAATCTGAGGTCTGAAACAAAGCTCGTCCTTGTGGTATTTCTGACCTCATTCTCCTGAGTTCATTCTTTGATGCTGTGTGAAGGTGAGCTCATGCTACATTCCTCCGCGCAGCGGGGCACCGCTAAGGTCTCGCTCCTCTTCTCTGTCCCCCTTTTCATTAAACTGGAAGAACTTCTTATTCTGGAGACAGCTATTGCTTTGTCAGATCTGGCTGGAGTTGGTTGACGTGTTCACTGTTATTCATCACTGAAGGACAGAGAAACAAAGCTCGTCCTTGTGGTATTTCTGACCTCATTCTCCTGAGTTCATTCTTTGATGCTGTGTGAAGGTGAGCTCATGCTACATTCCTCCGCGCAGCGGGGCACCGCTAAGGTCTCGCTCCTCTTCTCTGTCCCCCTTTTCATTAAACTGGAAGAACTTCTTATTCTGGAGACAGCTATTGCTTTGTCAGATCTGGCTGGAGTTGGTTGACGTGTTCACTGTTATTCATCACTGAAGGACAGAAGGAGGGATGGCTGAGCACAGACACTTCATCTTATGAGCCTTCTTTTCACAAAGGGCCAGGCTCACAGGCGGCCTCTGGAACGTGGACCAGAATCTGGGGGGGCTCCCTCTGCCTGGTTCAATATCCTGACCACTCAACCATGCTCTTGTTTCTGCTCAGAGAACATCGGAGCCCTCCATGCGGAACAGCCCAGCCTTTTGGGAGGGAATGAGAGTGCCACCTCCTTGCCCCACAGCCATCGGTCAGTGCCACTGGTGGACCTGGTGTAGGCTGGTGTCTCCTCAGGTGCTGAGAGAAAGGGGGACCTGTCTCCTGCCTTTGAAAAACGATTTCAATCAAAAGCTATTCAAAATAAGCAGCACCACCCCTCCGTTTGTGTGGGATCTGCTCTACCAGGAGGTGTTCCTGATTCCACCGTCA